AAAAAACATTATATAAGCGATTACTTTCAATTTTATTGTATGATTAACAATCTTCGAGTTCACCTTTTTATTTTTTTTACTTGAAATAACACTCCTAAGGCTTATAATTTCTGCTAGGGTGCATAAGAAACCTCATGACTTATAAATTTAATGTAAGGAGAATGGTTGAGTTCATTACACTTTGACACTGTATACTTTATCTATCTCATGAATAATTGTAGAAAACATTTTATGTAGTTTTTATTATAGTATGAGTAGACCTTTCTTTTCTTCTTTCAACAAATTTCAATTGCTCTCTATTATTAGCATTACCCAAAAATTATTTTTGAGATAAGCAATCTTTGCCCACCCCCGCCCCGCCCCAACAAAAAAAGCCCGTTTGACTCAAGTGTATAATAAGCAACACAAAGTAAGAGAAACATACTTCAAACAAGAAAAAGAAATGAAAAGAGGAGTTACGTTCTTTATCCCATATTTGTAAAGGCTTGCTCCTGCGAAAAAAATTAAACAGAAACCAAGAAAAAAATAAATAAATTAAACGAACAAGTTTCTCTTGATAAGAAACTAATAAGTTAAATAAATTAAACTACATCATTAGTTTAATGAAAATATAACAAAAGTAGCATACCCAAGGCCGTAGAGAATTGAAAGGAAACCAGACTGAAACGTATTCTTAAACATCTCTTCAGCTACTTTTACACAAGTTCGACTGCAAAATATTAAAAATTTGCCTCAGTTCTAATCCAAAGATTCAATATTGGGCTCAAGAATTGTTGCTCAATCAAACCCTTTTTTCTATCTAGTTTTATACTTTGATAATAACCTAAATCTTTTGGTCAGTTTTGAAAACCCTTATTACAAATATTCTCGAAGTCACACGGACGAACATACTCACCCACATAATATATGTATGGAGAGAGATATTTAACTTAGGCAACAATGGAGGCAGCAGGCACCAGCGACGTTAGCAAGAGAGTACGAAAAAGGAACAAGGTTATTAATGGAGGCAGCGGGGGTGACCAAGAGAAATTATTTTTATAGCCTTTTGATCTATAAATTTTCCATTTTGGCCCTCCAGCTATTAATGTAGGAAATGGTGGCAGATATCTGCCTGATTTTACCATTTTTTCAAAATAGCCTTTGACCCAAAAATTCTCAGTAGAAAAAAAAAAA